CGTCATACGTGTTCTCTGGGCGCATCTCCCGTGATCTCCCGCGAGGCGACGCGACGCGACGCGCGACGCTCCGGAGTAGATGTCAGTGCACAAGAATGTCTTTCTTTTTTTTCCTTTTCCTTACCGCTCACGCGTCCCGTCGCGTCGTTCGTGGTTACTTCTTGTAAACCATTGTAAACGGAGTGCACTTGGTGAACTACGGAGTCGCACGGATGTTTGTTTCATTACACTGCAACTGCGGAGACACTGACGACAGCTGCAGGTTAACTTTCGTAAGCAAAATATTCGCGGATCTTCCTGATAATGCGATGATGCGTGTTTGCTGGTTATTAGAAATTTAATACTGAAATAAATAATATAGTGATTAATTATTTATTTTGAACAGTTGAGTGTTTTAATATTCAAGTAATTTCTAGCATTAAGTTACTTATTTTGAGTATTAAAAGCTCTGAACTGCTTAAAATAGCGTAATGTAAAATCGAGCACTCAGTACTTTCGTTATATTTTTGGTGTTTTTAATCATTCAGTGCTACTAGAAATTAAGTACAATAATTTGATATTGGAAATTATTTATTTTTCAAGAATTAAAGGCATTGTTGTTTAGACTTTTAATACTCAAATAATAATTTCTGTTATTATCGACTAGTATTAATATGGATTTCTGTAACGGTTGGAAGAATCTCTTTTTTCGCCATATGGCTTTATACGATACGATTACGACCTCGTTTCTACTAATGAAGATTAAAGTCGATGTTTCTAAGAGAGACCGGAGTACTCGCCATTCTGATCCCATAATCCTGTAAACGCGTGATTCTCGCGCGCGGAAAGAAACATTAGAAATCCCTGCATCGTTTCACGTTATACTATTGTTGTTGCGTCGTGATAAAGTTAATCTCGTGAGCTTATTTTTATGCACGTGTTTCCTGCGAAAGAACGTTCCATCTCACGTTATCTTACATGATGTATAATAAGCCGCTTTTTTATAGCAATTTTTTAATAACCGTTTATACTTAATGTACAGCTGGAACTGTAATTATTTGTGCCGTTTAATAAGAATTAAGATTATTATTGGCGCAAAATGATTTATTGCGTGTCTAAATATGATGTACATATAACAATCTCCAAAGATTGTTTTTTCTTATTGATTATCTTGAATTAATTGCGTTTAAGATGTGAAATATTTATATATCTCTATTATATATTTTTATAAATATCTAAAATATATAATATATATCTAAAAACAGAAATTTAAAAAAACATACTACTTAAATACATACTTTTATTCCTCTACAGTCAGTTGTTACAGCAAAATTGTGTTTCAAAATTATAATTACGAAATGTTAATGATTCAAAATATTCTAATTTATTTTTATGATACTTTGTTTTTATTTGTTTCATTTTAGGAAATGAACGATATAAATAAATATATATCTATTATAGTTATACATACATTAATAATTTTTTAGATACATATTATATAATTTATATATATATATATA